AAAGCCACTTTTTCAAGGTCGAGAGACGAATCGCCGCCCAATAGCGTGATCAACTGAATGTCAATACTGTCCCCTAGCATTCTGCGTCCCACCAGTGCAGACAAAGATACGTTACGTCATACATTAGGGGCTTCGTAGATCCGTTCTGAAAGTGTTTTCCTGCAATGGCCCAATGACAAGGCTTGGGCAAGCCCGGCGCAACAAAACAAAACTCGAACACTTGGGGTTTCCCCTTCTCTTTGTGGGCCCCGTGAGTCCCCCTTGCTGCGCAAGCGAGCACGGTCAGTTATGTGTTCCCAAACCCTTGGCATTATAGGGGAACCCTTTGGAATCCCTCTGGGCAGATCGCACATGCTAACGGTGAACTCACATTGACTGTGTGCGCAGCCATACACTCTGTAAGCGCAGCAAATCAGCCAACTAACCTGGATGTGTCTTGAGTTGCAACGGACCTTTTACCCAATGCGTCTTGAGGCATGTAATCGCACGTTGAAGCCGGCGCATGCCCAGGGCAAAGCTGCCCTGAACTGCTTTTCTATGGGGCATCGGAATGCAAATGGGGCCCGCGCGCGGTCGCAAATATCACGAAACCAGCAATCGTGAGAACATTCAAAACAGCGCGACATACATTAGAGTCTCTTTTGCGAAGGCGAAAATTAGAGTCTTTTAGCCTCCCTTGGAAGCTTGTGCGACACGGAGTCTTCTGCTTTAACAGCACGACCAGATAGATCAAGAGCCGACTCGCCGCGCGGACTGCAGTCTGACAAGTCCCTTTGAGCGCCACGCTGGGGTCACAACGATCCCACAAGCGCAGTGTTTGCCGCTGCTCAAATCACAGATTGTCACGCCCGCATCCGGCTGCAGCAACGATCAATGCCTTGCGGACGGAGTTGGAGATGCTGAAGAAGGCCAAGCCTGCCACGAAGGTCCTGCGCAAGGAGTTGAAGACGCGAAAGTCTTGAAAGCAAAGCGGAGACCACAGCAAATGGGCGCTGCATGAAAGCCTAGTCCAGCTGAAGTTCGCGAAAAAGCCGCTGCTGCTGCGTGGCTTCTGGACCATCTTTGGGCCACGCAACCAGATGAGTGCAGCGGCTGTGGAGGCGCACGATTCTCGGACCTATAGGGTTCCCTGCGCAGCACGTGCTGCGCTGGCGCTGCTTCCTCCTGTTCGCAATATGTCAGAGCCTAACGCGTGCTCCACGGGTGACAGACGTCATCCAAGCATGCGAAGTGGGGCGAGCCGTGGCAGGGCATTTCTTCAACTCGCTCCGCCACTTGGAGTCCGAGGCAGGCCTTCGCGGGTGCAGCGACGCTCGCATGAAAGGACCGGTCTGCTTCATGCTGTCTAGTAAACACTCTGAGCTTGCTACGGGGGCGTCTTTGCTCTGACGCAGGAAAAGTGGAAGTCGATGGGGCCTGTTTGACGCGATTCGAACTGCGCACTTTGTGGACCAGATATATGAGCTGAACAAAAACCGATCAAACGGAAGCAGAAGACTCCTAACAGTTTTGCGGCGCGCGTGATGCTTTTGGGGGCACAGCCTCGTGGCGGAGCTCCAGCTATTCATCTGCCACGGCCAGTGGTGACTTTTGCGGGGCAGCGACTGATCACGGAAACAAGGACACAGGCCAAACACTGAGCGCAAAATTGATTGGTGTTCCTTTGTCAGCCACTTTTTTAGCAAACGCCTGACTAGTCTGGACTCCTTACCCATTACCCAGGTCTCACGCGTGACTCTCCGGTCTACGTGGACGGCAATGCGACCTGGCGCCACGCGTGCTTGGCGGGGCTCGGGCGCCGCTCAGCGACACAAACCAAGACATTCTTTTGGACAGGCCTTGGAGGTCTCTTAAGATTTAGCTGCCGCCGAAGGTGTGTGCCAGCGTAAGGTTGACGGAACTGGCCAGTTCCACCCTGCTGTGAAGCAGCAGGTTTTCCAGCGGCGACAGACGCTACATGCTCAAAGCCCTAGCGGGTTTTTATCTGCTCTAAAGGCTCTGCTGTGAGAAGGAACGCGGGCGGCGTTTGATTTGGAAAAAACATTGCATCGTGCCGGTTTGAAAGAAATTCAAGGAACAAAACTCTTGTCTTCTTGAAAAAAACAACGCGGGTAGCAACCCTGCTTGAGGAGGACGTGTGAGGAGCTTGGCAAGCATTGAAGGCTTCGCTCGGTTCATTGGGATTTCCCGGAGGGAACCACATGCCGTGTCTGACTTGCCCCAGCAAATTCCTGTTTTGATCCGCGGACGGAAGGGAGAGGAGGAAAAGCACTCCCCATTGGCTGATGACGAACCGAAGAGAAAATACTAGGGTTGTGGTGTGGTGTTGGGGAACCAGATCAAGAATCAGACGTCGGACGCGGCATTGTTTCAAGACCTGGGCAACCCACCTGCAACTTTCAATACCCCCAGACGCGCTGACTTTCTTGGTTGCCTTAAAAAGAAGACGGAATGTGCAATTGGCGGATGCTGTTCAGGCTTACATTCAGGCCGTGCTGCGGGGTACCATCTGTTAGATTGAGCTTCCCCCCGAAGCCGTTCCTGATACTATAAGAGAACTGTGGAACAAGTTCAAAAAGACCCGTGGTACGCCTGGTGAAGGCATTGCGTGGCCATCCTGAACGCTGGAACGCTTTGGGAGCAGCACTGCGATTAGTCGGCGCGCGCCGTGGGCTCCAAGCCCGTTGGTGAAGAGTGGCAATCCGCGCACACCCATGAGGAGCTCCGACTTGTTCTGGTGGTTCATGTTGACGATGTTCGTGGTCACAGTTAGGACAATGGGGGTCGCCGGCGAAGGCCTTCTGAAAACGCATGTTGGGAGTATTGAGGCCATTGCAAATACTCCGCTTGAGGGTGGTTGCGATAATGGAAACCGGACTTGCAGTTTGTAACGCCGCAACTTCAAAAGAGGCACGCTGAACTCAGTCTCACTTGCCAGATTTAGCGGTGGAGAGTTCGTGACGAGCTTTTCCAACACGGGGTTTTCACGGCAAGCGTTGAGGTGGCACCAATTCGAAAAAGCGGTGCCAGAAGCAAAGCATACCTCTTCATTGCCCATGGTGACAGGCAGGAATTCGAGATCCTTCTTGGGTTGTCCATTGGGTCCAACACGAGGGCCCATTGGGAAATGGCAGCAGTGACGGTGGCTGTGTGTTTCTTGCAAACACGATGCCAATGAAATAGGTCTCCAAAGCAGGGCAGAATGCTCAGGCTTCTCTACAAAAAACCGCTGGCCAAACAGGTGCCAAGCCGGTTGCAATCATATGCGTCGCGGAAGGAGGATCTCCATTTGCGTAGCTGGTGCAGTGGCCGACGCGCCGCTGCAGAGCGAGAAGCCCTGGGTATCATAACGGTCGTCTGTGTCACGGCAGCAGTCTTACGGGCAACGCGGGCGTGCAAGTAACATAGAGGCCTCGGAGATATTCTGCGTCTTGTCATGAAACCGACCTTTGGAATCAAACCGCTTTTTAGAAAGAGAGACGCCAAGATAGTCCAAAAGTTCAACACGAGGCAAAAGGTCTCCATTGACCCAATGAATGTTTCTGTCCCTGCTTGGAACAGGAGTGAACCCTCTTCAAGAGGTCCCAAGCCTCAGTCCAAAGAAGACAGTTCTGCAGAGTTTGTGGGTTGGTCCTTTCGTCAACAAACAAAGGGGCTTGCAGAGACGGGTTCATGCTTTCAAGCCATCTTGGCAAAATGCCGATTCAAACGGAAATTGCGACAGGAGGCGCACCATGGTACGCCAGAGCTCCAGCAGCTTGCGAGCGCGTCACATGGTCAAAGTACTCAAGTATCAATGCAGATCACCTGCCATCCGCCATTGAACCCGGATCCGCATCTGACTGCGCGGCAGCTTCCAAGAAAAAACCAAGCAAGAGCGGGGGGTGCCACCAACCACTCTGCCGGGAATGTGCTGATAGGAGATCTGTGAAATGACAAGAAGCCGCACATTGCGTGCAAAGCCGCATAAACAGAAGGCTCCACCGTAATAAGGAGCATGCTGTGGAGGCCAAGACACCCGCCTCTTGAAAAAACTCAGGAGATTCTCCACTTTTGGGGGAACTGCAGCTGCTTGCAGACTCCTTAACAAGCGGCTTTGGGAACTGCGCACTCTGAGGATTCTCAGGCGCATTGGACTTGGGTGTCACGCCGTATCTTGACGTGTCACGGCGCTTGCCAATGTTCTGGGGCAATTGCCAGGTATGCGTCCACGGCAACACTCACAATGTTGTGAATTGATATGGTTCATGCTGCCATAGGCACACGCCCGTGCGCTCGCCATTCCGAATCTTGGGTTGCAAGAATGATGGCCGTGCAGATGAAAACTCGCCCTTGCACATTCTCGCAAACTTAATGTCAGAAGGCCTGTCTTTTCTGCCCGCAACAGCGTCAGCTCGCTGATGTCTGGTGTCTTGATTTGCGACGTCATGGGCGCTCTGTAGTCATGTTGCTAAACCAGTTCAGCGACGCAAGGAACGGCGGCGGGATTGTTTGTCTGCCTTCAAGCCAGAATGCCTTGGGACCATACTAATCAAGGGGCCCCAAAACAAAGGATTACCGGAACCAGCCCGGATTGACACTGTCCTCCGGATCTTAATCTGGGCGCTTCGCGCCTTGCGCCCACACTCACATCGGGGAATGGGAGTTGCGGCTCAACTTGAAAATTATGCTCGTTCCTGATGGAGGGTTGCTACAACGCGCCTTTATCCCCTTGCCTGGACTGGATGTGTAGCCTACTTGCCCGAAAGACGAAAAGAGGTCCAACAAATCAAACCACGACGGGGGACACGGGCATAAATATTTCCTGCAGGGAACCAATGAAAAACCCACATGCCTGTTTCTACCCTCAAGGTTGATTTTTCTAGGCGCAGGAGAATGAGATCAGGCAAGGTGCGATGGCCTTCCTCACATCCGACTGAAAGGCGGCGCAAACACGCCTGCTTCTACCCTTTAGGTTTCATTTCCTTTAAGCGCAGGGAAAAAGGGTTCAGGCAAGGCGCGATGGCCTTTCTGACATCCGTTTGAAAGGCGGTGTCCTTGTCGGCGTTCGAGGCGTCAGAGGCTTCCTCAGCACATGGCTGTGAAAGTGATAGCTTGAACCCCATCCCAGCATATCCTGCCCTGAAGCTGCAACGTAAAGCCCCATTAAGCCCCATAAGACAATATTGACCCGGTTTTGGGAGGGGTTCCATTGATGAAATGAAGGTGGGCTGCTACTGGCCCTGACATGCGCGAGGCGTCTTTTGCCTTCCGGGTCTGCCTAAGAGCTCTCGAGCCCATCACGCAAGCTGCTGCACTTACACGCCCCAGTTTAATGACCTTTTGCAATGGGACCTGGTCTCTATGCTGGAAGACACCCTCACAAGCAAATCTATGAAAGATGCCTCACGGTTATTCAGCTCCTCCTTGTCTTGTCGGTCTTCCCCGCGCGCGAAGAACTGCAGCTTGGCAAGACCTTTGCCAGGCTGGGCATGTCCATACACCCATCGAAGAGACGTGCTTGTCACCGCCTGCATCACCGTCCGTGCGAGCTTGAAAAGCTTTCAGGTCATCACATCGTAGACGCCCTTCCTGGCTGTTAGCCCACTGGAACACCAAATCCTCTCCCGTTCGTGGTTGATTGGACTGCAGCTCCATTGCCTTCCCAGGCAGGCCCGAGTAGAGGTTGTCTGGATATCTTGTCCCCACACACTGGAATCGTTCCGAGCCATGCTTCATCTCGCGTATCAGCTTGTTGGCCCGCTTCAAGGTGCTGTTCGTAGCGTATGGAACCTCCGAGAGCTGCAGCCCACGTCTGCCAGGTACTACGTGCGGCAGATTAAATTGGTTCGTCCCACAAAGTGGTTCCAAGAATCCCTCGCAAAGCTCTGATCTCCTTTGCAGTGGTACTCGGCCTTGTCCATGGAATTCCAAGAGGTCTCAATGTCAGCTTCCTCCATCCACCGATTAGCGCGCTGGGTCTGACTCAGCTCGGCGGAGCTCTGCCTCCACCTTGAGAAACACCGCCGAGTCCTCGTGGCCACCGAAGAGCAAGTCATCAACACAAATTTGCCAACACGCACCACCACGTCACCCAATAGCTTTATCATAGCGAATACGTGGGTGTATCGTCTCCTTGGCGCATTGATGTTGAGCTTCCGGTTCGCTGCCAAGAGTAGGTGCCGGCCAAGCTGCTTTCTCATCGTCGGCGACGATGTCTCCACCAACGTCAGGTTGTGCGCCTGGTATCTCATGGCCGGATCCTTCCTGGCAAAGCGCCCATCTCGTTCCCATGATCTTGCTCACGTCCAGCTGTGCCTCAAGTCGGCGGAGAAGGTGAGAATCTGCTTTTCGACAGCCACGGCGTTCTTCTTCCCATCTCTTCGTGTTCGAGACGTCAGGTCACTCACGGAGCGGTGGAAAGGCAGTCGTGGAAGAAGCGCAAGAGGAAGAAGCCGACTCTGCGTCGGCCACCCAGTGATGATCATCCTCCTCGCGCGCCACCAGCTCCGGAATCGCCTCGCTCCTCTTGCGCCTCAAGGCGCTCCATGGCTCCGATCAAAGACCTCAGGGTTCAAGCGGCGCGCAACTTTGCTAGACCCGTCACGCGCTGACAGATCCTCCACGCCACGCTGCCCGTCTCATTGTTTGATGTTCCCACGCTTGCCGCTGAATTAGGCTTTGCCCTACTTTTGCCAAAATGAGATTCGGACAGCCATGTGCCTTTTGAAAAAACGGTTACAATTAGTGCCGCGTGGTGCAACTTTTGGCGCCATGCTTTTTTAAAATTCGCACGCCTTTACTGTGCCTGCCGGCAGCCGCGCGAGCCAAGCTTGCACCGCCAGTGTAATCGTTGCAACATAGCAACACGGCAAGTTTGTATCGAACACGTCATAACCAAAACGTTACAAAAACATAGCGTGTGCCCCATGTCACTGAACCGCCGCAATATTAAAGCTTGCTTTCGCAGGTCGCATTCGTAGCACACCTCTTCTAGCATGTTGAGAATTGCGCGCGTCTGAATTAACACGGCAGTTCTTAGGTTTTATAGAACTGACTTCAATCAGGGGCGGTCTACCTTGTTTTGTCGGATGGGATGATGGAATCGTCGCAGTGTTTCAGGGGCCGGGGCTGTTGTTTTATCCACTCGTTCCCGCAGCCCTTCCTCCTGGCCTCCAGCAAGCCTTAGACCACCCCCGGCTGAGAGAGTTGCGGATGTTGCGCTGCAAGTGTGCTAACATGTGACAGCTTCAGTCACAGCCTTTCGCTCGCCACACTGAGAAGGGGACGCAGGTGCATACCAAGCAGACTTGGCCGCTACATTGGTGGCAAAGGAGAGGTAAAAAGAATACACCTTCAGCAACAGACACTGGTGCCAAAATGTAGCGGCCAAGTCTGCTTGGTATGCACCTGCGTCCCCTTCTCAGTGTGGCGAGCGAAAGGCTGTGACTGAAGCTGTCACATGTTAGCACACTTGCAGCGCAACATCCGCAACTCTCTCAGCCGGGGGTGGTCTAAGGCTTGCTGGAGGCCAGGAGGAAGGGCTGCGGGAACGAGTGGATAAAACAACAGCCCCGGCCCCTGAAACACTGCGACGATTCCATCATCCCATCCGACAAAACAAGGTAGACCGCCCCTGATTGAAGTCAGTTCTATAAAACCTAAGAACTGCCGTGTTAATTCAGACGCGCGCAATTCTCAACATGCTAGAAGAGGTGTGCTACGAATGCGACCTGCGAAAGCAAGCTTTAATATTGCGGCGGTTCAGTGACATGGGGCACACGCTATGTTTTTGTAACGTTTTGGTTATGACGTGTTCGATACAAACTTGCCGTGTTGCTATGTTGCAACGATTACACTGGCGGTGCAAGCTTGGCTCGCGCGGCTGCCGGCAGGCACAGTAAAGGCGTGCGAATTTTAAAAAAGCATGGCGCCAAAAGTTGCACCACGCAGCACTAGCTACAACCATGTTTTTAACAAACGCTGCATGAAAGTAAGGCAAAGCCGAATTCAACAGTAAGTAAAATACCATCCGCAGGCGATCTCGAAACCTGGTACTCCGACGGGGATTCTCACCAGGGGCTCCGCTACTATGAATTTGGGGCTGCTACTAGCCCTAACGCGCGTCAGCCGCCTTTGCCTCCAGGTCTGTCCCTCCTGTCTAGTGGCTCTCGAGCCCACCATGCGCATCACGCAAGGTAAAAAGTCAAATGCCTGCTGCACTCACAATTCGGAGGCCCTCAGCAAACAATGCTTGATTGAAGCTTTCCTTTTGAAAGGACAAATGTGCGACTCTTGAGGTTTGATAACAGTGTTTACTTGAACACTCTTGTAAACCAACCCAACAAAGGGCTCGAAGCGTCTTGGTCTTATTCTTTTTTGTGTAAGAAACGTTCATGTTCCATTGATTTCTGGCATCTACCAGTGTGGCTTTGACGGCTTTCCAAGGCCCCGCTTGCACCTCTACTCAACCAAGGGGTAGAACTCCTTGCTCAAACGGACGATGCAAAGGGGCTGTTTCAATCGGAAGCGGTTCTATCCTGGGTATGTCTTTTGTTTAAGGTTCTCCTTTTGAGGTAGTCCGGCAAGCCACCCACTTGTGTGCCTTGGCTCACACCATACTAGCCCAAGCATGCCGAGAGTGGAAAAGCCATTGCAGAAGCGAGGCGCGTCGTCGGGGCGCTCAATGTTGCCTTCCTGCTTTGGGGCCCTCTTGCCCATGCCCTGAGCCAAGCTCTCTGGCAAGTGGAAAAAGAAATTCGTATGTCAGAATGTTTTGCAGTGCTTCTATTTTGCTTCATGAGGGTGCTCATGATTGAAAAAAGAAAGGGAGCCAAAAGGCAACGCGCATGCCTCTTTTTGGTCTCTCTGACAGGGAAGGCCAAACCGTGAAGCCATCTCTCAGACAAGCAGCCACCTGGAATCTGAAGGATTTCCGAGCCATCCTCTCGGCGAGCGCGCGATCTGCTTGGTTCCCCTGGCCGGGAGAAAGCGTGAGCTATAGAAATGACCTAACATGGATGTGGAAACTTGTAAAAGGGTGTATATGAGTGTTAGAAACCCTTCGGTGAACGTTTCGAGGGTGTCTCGCTTGGTAGCCACAGATGCAACTGCTAGATGTGGAAATTACCAAACACCATCCAGGGTCTCGGTTAGTTCCTGATCGTCTTTGAGCTGACAAAAGCAACAAGAAAAGATATCCACGGTAGTCAAACTCCAGGGCCCCACCAGCAAAAAATGTCACGCCGGCTTCTCCGTCCAGTTTTACACACTTGGTCAGTCTCAGGATTCGCGCGTTTGCGCAACATTCAAGAGTCCAATGCTTGAACCCCTGGATAAACCCCACAACCTGGTCTCATAGTTATAGGTTAAAATGAAAAGGGCGCTAAATATGGGTTAAAATTTGGCGGTCGGTGAAAAGCACTTGGCACGCGAACCGGTTTGCCCTTCGATGGAGGCGGTTTGGTATCCGGCCAGAGAAAACTGGCCACTCAGCCATGTGTACATCATTAGCGCTAGCGGGGAACTGCCTTTGGCCTAGCACATGGTGGGATTCGCGTTTGGCAAACGTCTTCAAGGTTTTCGGTGTCAACCTGGGCTGTAAAACTGGGGTTCATACAGGAAACTTGCCACAAAATGTGCCCGAAAACCCCTATGAACCCCAAAAATATGTGGCCGAAATCCCCTATGAACCCCAAAATCTGTGGCCGAAAACCCCAATGAACCCCAGCCCGGTGGCTATCTGTGGCTTAAAACCCTATAAACCCAAGCTTGTGGTTTGAAGACCGCGCTCCCCTTCAAAAGTTGCCAACACCAACTGTGACTTCGCCATTTTTGCAACATTTGAAGGTGCCCGTTCTGACTGGAAGCCGCTCCAGCGATTGATTATCAATGCAGGAATTGAGCCTTGAGGGGGGCTCTTGCGATGACAAAAGTGAGCTTCGGAATCAATCAAATCACGTATTTCTCTGTATTATGAGGGGTCCTTGTAAAATGGCCTTTGGAGACAGAAATCGGCGAAATCAAAGGTAAGCCTCAACCAGGCCTTAATTAAGGCCTAGCCAACGATGAACATTCCAGGGGTGTACCCAGGGGTTCAAACATAGTCCTTTTGAAACATTGATCGCACCTGCAATTTGACAAGCTACCGTCATCCCAGTGTGTACGATGAACTCAAAGTCCGCCTAAGCACTTGAAGGGAAAGGCCACGGGTCTTCTTCCAAGCGGCGCAGAAAAACATGGTGGGATGAATTTAATTTCAGGCCGTGAATCCAACCAACACTTTAGCCGAGTGGAAAGGCCAACTCAACCTGGTACTTGGGGACTCGGCACACTCTCCAGTCCTTTGTCACTCATGAGCGCCTGAAAAAAAGGCGCAGGAGGAGAAGAGATGAGGCGTGGCGGCGTAAGGTGGAGGTGGCCCCCTTCAAGAAGATGCGGAGCAAGGCCTTTACAGCATGTCCCCGCTTAGCACGGCTGCGCTGCTCGCACCTCCGCAGCTGGACCCTCACTTTGGGCCTAAATATTCCGGGACCATTGCGAGATGCAGGTGTTGCAAGACTCTTTTGTGAGTGAACATGGCCTGCGGCGCCTTTGCTCCAGTTAGCTGAATCGAGCGTCTTCTCTGATTTGGTGAACGAGGTTGTCTGCCAGCACGTGAACGAGCAGGAGTGGGCGCACAGGCTCCTCGTGGCCTTGCGCCTTTTTCTTTTGCCCCAAATTTCCAGGAACCGTCTTCACCAGCATGGGGACCTCCAGGAGGTAAACATCCGGAAGACGATGCTATTACGCGATGAGCTGGGTTTCGAAAGACATGTTGCTGCCGGAGCCCGTGAGCGAGTGGCTGCGGCGCGGCTTCTTCTTGCTGGCGGGCTGATTACAGCCACAAGCGGGTGGACAACCATGCCAATTGTGACGTGCGTGGGGCCCCTAAAACGGTGGAGCATGTTTCGTGGGAATGTGCGGAGTATGCTGACCTTCGATCTCATGCATGTGCCCAGGTCTCCATTTCTGTTGATGCAGTACCTACATGTGCCAAGTATATTTGTATAATCCCTCCAGATGTCATAAATAGATCTCCAATAGGCTGCCCGGGTGCTGCAAACCATGTTGGTGGATATTTCGCTACGAAACGTTGAGAAATTTCACGACAAGCAGAACCATTACATGGCCAGTGTCAGAGCAGCAGTTGCAGCTAGGGAAGGCAGGGAAGGGACCGGCGTTTTCTCTCAAAATCGGCACAGTCGACAGGATGCTTTGGGTATGTGGTGCAGAAAGTGTGGCAAGTTTTTCACGCGGCTGGAGCAGGTGAAGTTGAAGATGACTGGCCAGAAGTGTACCCGACGCGATTTGCCTGCTGCCCAGTGGCTGACGCGTGAGGGATTAAGTTAGCGTAAGTAGAAACTTGACGCCAGTAATAATCAGGGCAAAACTTTTTGTGGTGTAACAAGAAGGTTGGCAAGATCCCTGAGCGGCGGGACGAGGGCGTCATCAAGTGTTTTAGGTGTTGTCGGACTTCGCGATGGAAGGACGGGAGAGGGCGATGGGCACTTGACCCCTCTTGGTTGTGGCGCACACTGGCTGTCAGTGATGGGCAGGGATGGGACCAGCAAAAACACATGCTCATTGACTGCAAGTTTGTAGAGAGCATGATGCATGCGCTTCTGTCATGTAGCAGTGACCGTCTCATAAATTTCGGTGGGCTGAGGTTTTGCATGCGATGCGCCTTGGGGCTATTCACTCCATTGCACAAGCAAACACCAACCTTGGGACCCCGGCCGGCTTCACCTTCTTGGTAATGCGCTCCACACGCAGCTCTTCTCGGTTCAACTCCTGACAAACTCGAGGCAGGGGCAAGCCATTTGGATAACGGGACCCTGACACGTGGGGGGCTTCCAGTTCTTAAAAATGGGGGGCGGTTGCCAGTGGTGTGCCATGAAAAACATGCACTTGGACTGCGCGGCAGTTTGCACGCTACAGAACCAAGTGAGTATGAGCTGTTTTCGAAGGGGACCACTTTCGGAAACCACACGCAATATGCATGCGTTTGGATTTTAGGTGGGCTAGTTGGGGAACCAAAGGGTACCCCCATTGTAACTTCATTGAAGGAAACAAAGGCGATGCTCGTTTCAGGCAAATTGCAGGAACTATGGTGGTCAAACACTTGCGGAGTGGTCGAACGTATGGTTCTCTTACCAGTATCATCAGGGGCTGTCCTTGGTGTCACATGAAGGGCCCCTATGGGAGTGTCGGTTTAGTTTAGGGCTCGGTCGGGGTTCTCAACCATGCTCAGTTGCCAGGGAAAACTGGACGAATGGCTTGCCCTGAAGCTGACACGAGAACAGCCGCGCCTCTTGCTCGGCATCCAGAAAAGCATCCAGCTCCAGTCCGCCTAAAGCGCCCAAGACGGACCTGTTTGGACTGGCCAGGATTGGCTAAAAGTTTCCCTCGGCCAAACTAAAAGTTTACAGTTTGTCAACTCGCCAAGGGGTCACGCTTGCGTCCACACAAAAAAACAAAGCCTCCGCCCTCCCGCCGGCCCCAACCCACCTGCCCCGCGGGCGTCATTGAGAACGAGACATACAGTGCGACTTGAATGGCGAATCTTCTTCCAACAAAAGCACTGTATATACCAAGAACACCGTGGAGACCACGACGTGAAACATCGGGAAGGCAACAGGGGGGGCTCTGACTTGGGCAAAGGTCCAAGCTTTTCATGCCCGATGTGTTTCATTCGAGCAGCATTTTTTGCAGACTAGTGCGCAAAACCTTGTAGCATCTAAAGCAAGCCAGCAAAACAGCAAAGGATTCACAACCCCAAAGTTGTGCGGAATGGGTTCTGCAGCACGGGAAGGCGGCCTTTGCCATGGCTAGTTTCAGCTCAAGGTGGGAAACGGACGAGCGAAGGAGGGTCTGAACAAAAAAATGTCAGCGAGGAAACTCCCCGAAACCTCCCCAGGCCTGGGTCAATCTTCTGGGAAAGCTCCATGAACTCATTGGCCGTGGCTTTCAGGCCCACCATGGGCGCCCTGCGTGTTGGCAGAGAGAACGGTTGCTATCCGTGCCCAATGTCCGGGATTCACCCTGAAAACTTGGCAAACAGAGCGCTAACAGTAAAAGAGTGAAGCAACAGCAGCAACCAAATTTCCACAAGGGCGTTGCGGCGTCTAACGAGTTTCCTGGAACAACTCGCAAATATTCCGAAGACCCCGCAACAGTGTCATTGACGGGATTGCCCTTTTCCCTGCAGCTCAGAATCAAGCGGATCCAAGTTCAACCGGGGACGTGGCGCGATCCGAACAACTTACAGCGGGCAGTTTGGCATACCTCCGGAGGCATCCTGCACCAATCATGGACCTAAGGACCACCGGGCACTCTAGTAAATCCCAGGCAAGCCGCTACAGTAGAAAACCAGACCGACAAATCTCGTGCTAAGAAATCCTCATATGGTCGTATTGCCCAGCTCGCCATTTGGAGGAAAAGCCGGTCGGCCCGGAAAAGGCTCGTAGCCTGTAAACATGTGCACTATGGGACTGACATGTGGAAGACTCACAACCACCTCTCAAGGAATGTAACTTCTTGATTACCCGAACACAAAGGGACCTGCAAACTTGATGGCCTGCGCAGGTTTTAGATAAAGTGGTTGCAGTGACAAGCGAGTCCAATAAAGTCGACAAAGAAAACACCAATTATTTTAAGTTGTTGTTCCCCAAACAGTGTGTCTACACTAAGGGGTTCTTACGGTAAGAGAAAAGGCCTTGGTGCCAGATTGAGGTGCCCGCTCTGGCCGCGAGCGTTTTGCGTGGTATTTGCCGCAGATTCGTGCTCTTGCTTGATGTCGAAGTGCGTTTCGACTGCGCAGGCTCGCACAAAGTGAGTTGGCGACTTCTGTCCGCGAGCGTTTTGCGTGGTATTTACCGCAGATTCGTGCTCTTGCTTGATGTCGAAGTGCGTTTCGACTGCGCAGGCTCGCACAAAGTGAGTTGGCGACTTCTGTCCGCGAGCGTTTTGCGTGGTATGTACCGCAGATTCGTGCGCAGACTGCGCAGGCTCGCACGTGCTCTTGCTTGATGTGCGAAGTGCGTTTTGACTGCGCAGGCTCGCACAAACTCGATGTTTTTGCTTTTTTGGCGGCGGGGACCGTGCGGGTTTTGTTTCGTGGTCCGGCGGCACGGGTTTCCGGCGAAAGGTCCCGGGCTCGATTCCCGCCCTGTCCGCGCGAGCTTGTTTCCCTTTCTTTGGGCATGCTTGGATGGTGCTTCTGTGCTGCGACGGCGTCTCGATGGTACTCTGAACAACAACACCCAAAAACAGCAACAGCTACAGCAACAGCAACAGCGACCTAGCTAGCTAACTCACTAACTCAGGCACCCTGGTGAAACAAACACACAGATCTTGCCTTTTGTAGTGATGCTTACACACACACACACACACGCACAAACACACGCACACACGACCATGGCGCTGGCTTCGACACGTGTCTGCTGCATTCTCTTGCGCGTGTCTGTTCCAGGCCGTGTCCTTGTCTTTGTGAATGTGCGCGCAAATACCGCAAAATGATGTTGCAGCTTCCTGACAACAACCGTCGTTTTGCGGCGCAGCCCGCGCAATACTCTGCAGCGCGTGACCGCCGCCTATCACTGTTTGGGGTCTCGTGCCGGGGTATTTTTTTAAAAAAAATCTTCGTGGGTGTTTACTCTGTTCGCTGCTCCGTGGCAGGTTCTCTGTGCAAATGAAAAAGGTTGCTCTTTGGGCGTGTATCATAGGCGCCTTCTTGGGTGATTTTCAAACAGAAGGGGACGTTGTGAAGGTCTGGTTTTTCAAATATTTTGTGTGTTTCTTAGACATCTGGTTTCAATAGCAAACATCTATGGTTTCCCCGACAGTTCATTACAAAAACAATGAAGATTGTGGATTCCAGTAAGAAGAGCAGATTAGGACGTTGATTTCCTAGAGTCGGCGTGTAGAAGCAGAAGCTCGCGCCAGGGGACGGGGCGGGGGCAAGTCTTTTAAGCTGTTTAGCCCCCAGACTCAGTCCAGGATCACTGGGACTCAGTAGCTTGTTCCCCCTACTTGTCCCTGGCCCCTATTTGCAAAGTTCTAGGATGTCCTGTTTCACTAAGTCCAGTTTGGGGAACTGACAGAAACCGACAGAATCTGACAAAAATTGAAAACAACACAATCAAATTCCAACCGGCTACGGCACCCGTTATGTACTACCAGTAATGCCTTCGAATATGAATATTGACAGCTAAACAGCAGTAACGAAGAAACAACAACAAGCAACAGTAGGCTAACAGCAAACCGCACAACCAGATCACGAGCAACAGCGCAACAACCAATCATGCATCTCATGCATTCCGCTCTGAGTGCGCAACGAGTGGTTCGCCGCGTTGGTTTTTGATCGACGTGTCAAATCCACCGCTTGTCTACGCTGAATGCAAAAGAAGCAGCTTCCTCTGACCGCAAGCTGAAATAGCACTGGTTTCCCTGCAAAACAAAATTGGTCTTGCAGACATCTTGCGGAAGGAGTGAGCCACTTGGGTTTGTGGGAGGTCCGTGGCCTGACAAATCCACCTTGCCTGCATCTCATGGGTGCAACAGCGCCCAGCTACAAGCAAGGGTATCAGGGCGGGCAGGGTATGTGAAAGGCTTAGGTCCGAGGGACTTCAGCCAAGATCTGGCAAGGAACATGCCTTCAAAGCAAATGCATAAGTCATGACACCAACCTGCCGTCCCCAATCATGCATCTCATGCATTCCGCTGTGAGTGCGCAACAAGTGGTTCGCCGCGTTGATTTTTGATCGACGTGTCAAATCCACCGCTTGTCTACGCTGAATGCAAAAGAAGCAGCTTCCTCTGACCGCAAGCTGAAATAGCATTGGTTTCCCTGCAATGCGGAAGGAGTGAGCCACTTGGGTTTGTGGGAGGCCCATGGGAGAAAAGAGCACAAAAACGCATGGAAAAGAAAAGTGCCCTAGGGAACACGTTCTGTTGGGACCAGAGAGCCTGGCTTAAGGGTCATGATTGATCCCGTTAAAAGGCCTCCGTGAGCGTAGACAAGGGTGCGTTGTGTAAGTCGGCGAGAGCCGGAAACTCCACAACGCGGACTTCTGCGTTCAGCTGTTGCATCAACTTGTCTTTCTCAGCATGTCGGCTGAGTCCGTCAGCGATGTTCGCGCTGGACTCAACCCACTCATGCCAAAGCTTGGAGTTGCTGCGAGCGATCAAAGACCGCTAGGAGAACAGCAGTGTCTTGTTAAGGGCTGCGACCTTTGATAAAACTGCTCAAGGCTGCTGTGTTGTCTACAACATGTAAACAGAACGCGTGCGCCAAAAGCTCAGGCGCATGAACTGGGGCAAGCAAAGCAGCTGCCACCTCTGCCAAATTGATGTGTGTCCCTGTCCTTGAGCTGATTCAGCACGGAAGGGGGCAAAACAGCAAAAAACCCTGTCGGTCTACAACGCCTTGGTGAGAACAAGACGCATGACATGCCAACTTCTTTGCCAGCTTCAATCATTGCGTCCGTGTAAACCAAGCAAACGGGTTCAGCGGGTTGAAATTGGACTGTGTGGGGTTCATATTGCACCAACACTGCGCGCAAGAAATCCAGAGCCTGCTTCAAACTTTGGTAAAGGCGAGTCTGGTTGCTTTGCCGGCGTTGGCGGTCCCCCAGCGCTCCCTCACAGAAACGTTGGATTCGCCCGTGAATCTGCCAGCTGAGGAAAACTGACTTGCCCCTAAGCTTCCAACGGTACTGCGGGCTTCTGGGGGTTGGCCTGGACCCGGACAAGAGGACGCGTATGCGCGCACGCTTTGTTTACACGGGGGTCCTGTTCGACTTCACACACGCCTTGTCCCAAGGCGTTGTTCAAGTGGAGCCCAAGCCCGGACGAGTGAACAGCATTCTTGAGCTCGCCTTTCGCCAGCTGAGGCAAGTTCGCTGCTGGGCAGAGCCATACTCACGACTCAGGCCGAAGCACAGGTTATCGTCATAGAAATGCAAGCACGGGATATCCAAAAGTTGGCGCACCGCTGCAAACTGCAACTCCGGCCCCCGGTTGTAATTTAACACGCTGGAAGATAGGCCAAAAGTACATTTAAAGAAAAAGCACCTGCTGCCGCTTGCAGTGATAGAAGGCAACAATGAGAAAGTTCGCGTGGGCATCTGCAGTTGGCTTGAAGCGGTATGCTGCAGACTCATCATCCACACCTTCTTGCAAGACATCTGAGCTGCTGTGATCGCCGAGTTGCCTGTGGAAAGCAGAAGCAATTGCCACCACCATGTCATGGGAAGTAGTCCAAGCTTCCGTGGCTAAGTTGTGGCCGGATCGCCTTCCATCGTCAATTGCCCTGTATTTGCCATTGTGGGCTTGGTAGACAGGAAAGCGTGGTAGGGGCCGCCACTGGCCCTCGCCGTACTTGCAGTCCAGAGCCTCTTTGGTCAGAAAGCCCGAAGCAAAACCGCGGGCCACATCCTTCTCGCAAAGAGCGAGCAAGGCTTCTTCGTCAGCAGGGTTCTTGCTTGGACAGAGAGTTCGCGGCAACTCCTGAACGAAGGACCCCGCCGATCCCAAGAGTTGGTCAGCTTGTCCCTGGGGAGGAGCACGAATGCTTGGTCGAAAAACAGGCGCGTCTTCCACGCGCCCAACGACTCCAAAACCTGTGATTAAACGCCCAGGCAGTGTGACGTCCGGCCACGCTGTGGCTATGCAAAAATACAACCACATGGCCACGTTCACGCCGTGGGCCACTGTTCGAACCCTGGGCGACATTGCCTGCAACTTCTGCAACTGCTGAGCGACACTTCCATGCTTTCAGCGTTTGCCGGCGGAGCTTGGTTATGGGTTGTTGGCAGACACGAGGGATGAGAAAGTCAAGGTCCAACGGCAGCTCGTGCTCCTGAAAAGGATGCGCAGGCAAGGCTCTTGCTGCCCGCAGATGGCCATCCATCCCCAAACCTTCCCGCACCAAGCGAGGCCACCCAACTGCTGAAAAAGACGAGCCCGTTTGCCGGTCTGCCACGGC